GCGATTGTCCAGATCTAAAAACCCTAACTCAGGGCCTATCCCCAAATCGGGAGCGGGAGGAGAATGAGATACATAATAATATAACAGGAGGAGAGGGATCATTACTTACTATCCTGTGATCCTGTCCCTTCCGTTTGTTTGACAAGATACAAGAAAATTTTAACATGTGTTTATTTAATATGAAATAGAAAATGGTAGAAAAATAAAAAAAATTTATGCTTAAAGTTTATCATATTTGACTAATTTATTTTTCTTGCAAAAAATATAAGAAAAAATAAGAAAATTGTGTTCAATAACCTAACTTCCTATTTTATTCTTATTTTTAAAAAAACATTCAATTATTTATTAATTTTAAAAAACTTTGTATAATTTAAAAAAATTATATAATTTAGTCTACAGATCAAGGTTCGAGTCGATTCTTGTCTTTGAATTAGATTAGGAGTCAATTTTTTAAAAATTTGAATAATAAAAAATATTTTTTCTTTTTTAGACCGAATTAAAATAATTAAGGATAATTTAGATAATTAAAAAAAATTCGTATAACTTTTTTTTCTTTTTTTTCAAACAATGGAAATAAATTATTTCAAAATTTTCTTAGAAGTTTTTTATGCTAATCAAATACATGCATGAATATATATTTTCTTTCATTTTCTTTTTTTCTACTTCATTTTCTATCTCTTTCATTTTTCGCCATTTTTTTCTTATTAACCTGACGGATCCTTCAAAATTGGACCGGAGTTCATATAATTCTATTTTACTTTCACCCTATTTACACAACTTATTAAGGTATTAAAATGTAATTTGTAATCACGCCCCTTTTCTTGTCTACTATTTTCAAAGCAGACCACAACTTTAGGAATGCTTTCCAATCCCCCCCCCCCAAAACTTTCACAAAATCAATCAAATTGCGTCCCCTTTCAACCTCTCCCATTGAGACTAAGGGTGTGTTTGGGGAGTGGGATAAAGGGGGTTAACACCATAAGGATAGGTAAATAAAGTAGTGGGTCTCATTTATTCTTTATTTGAGAAGCATTTTTTGAGATAGGATAAAAATCTCGAGTCAAGTGTTGACCCGGTTGCTACAGTAGTTTTTAACCCCTTACACAGGTTATAATTAACCCACTCCCCACATGGGTTACAAACCCAGTCAATGGGTTACTCGCCAACAAACGTATTTGCCCCTCTTTCTCCTGTCGCTTGGTAATGATGAGATTATGGGGCATATCAGAGGGGGCGGTGGGACTGGTGTCGGTGGAAGGTGGTAGGAAGTGGAGGTGGGGATGGAGTGAAGGGTTCTGGTTTACCGGCGACGATGGCGACTGATGTGGGTGAAAGGGATGGTACGAGTCTGTTCTCTCAAGTTTCCTTGATCTTTTTGTTTTATATTTCTTAAACTTCTTAGCAATCATAAAGAAGGTTGGGTCTTTTATTGATTGGATGTTCTGTTTGCTTCACATATAGAATGGAAGATCTGGATGATGAGTGGGAATATACATCACCAAAAAAGTGAAGGTAAAGTGAATTGGATCTCAGAGATCTGGGGCTGGGAAAGAAGGTTGTGATCACAGCTATTGTGATCTCATCTTTACCGGTGGTTCTTCCTCCACTTTTGGTGATATCTGCTCTTGAGTTTGCATTTTCGGTTCTATTTGGGGTTGTCTTTGCAACTTATGCTTGCACTGAGCATGTGCGTTTTGGAGAAGTTGTAACAGAAGATGAAGAAAAAGAAAAGACAGAGGATGCAAAGACAAAGTTAGAGATGAGGGTTGATTGTAGTAGGAGTGATTGAATTGTTCCTTGCCAAACAATTGTTTGGATTGGATAGGAAACATAATCCACCCAGTTAAGTGGTTTATTGGGTTTGAGTGGGATAGGTTAGGAAACAAAAAATCATATTCTTTCCTATCCTTGCCTATTATCCAAACGCACCCTAAGGGTGTCTATAGACTGGGCCAGAATAGGCTCGTAAAATATTTTTCGGGCGGGTTGGTCAGTGTAGGCCCAAGCCCTTACTCAAATGAATTATCGACGTGGGTTAGAACGGGCCGGGTTTCGAGTAAGGGTAGGCTACTTGCAACCCAACTCGCGAGTCTATTGGGCGGGTCTGCTCGTGAGTTTTTTATATACAACTTCATTTAAAAATAATGAAATTTTTTGTAATTTAATATTTGTGTAAATTATATTTTGAAAAAAAAATAGAGTCAAAATAGATAAAAATAAAATAATGAATAATTTTTTTTAAATTAGGGGATGAAACTACATCCAATAGAATGAATACATCCCAATTAGGTTAACATTTACTCATTTAGCTATCATTTACAATACTCTACCTTTTAAAATTTGTATGTTTAATATATGAAAAATAAAATAATACATTATTTATAGTATTTAAATTTTTAAAACTTCAAATTCTGACATTGAAAGATTTATTTCAAAATTTCAAATTTAATTTTAAAAGTATAACTATTTTTCAAATAAATGGTGAACAAGCTATGTGGGCGGGTTAGGCTTGGCAAGAGGGTGGGCGGGCTCTTGGGCTGGGCTTCAAGCCAGTTAATGAGTTTGGGGGTAAAATCAAATCCTTTTTTTAAGGATATTGAACTCAAGTTATCAGGTTTATCGAATTTTGGACCTATTTTTTTGGGCAAAATAACGGGATCCATAAATAACCCGACCCATAGACACCCCAAACTGAGACCCATATTGCCACGTACCGTTGCCTAACAAAAGCACCCTTTTTTGCAACTAGTTATAGTTTTCCTGCCCAAAGCCTCTTATTTTGGAAATTAATTTTAGGAAGAATTGCATTAACACCTCTTAAAGTTTGTCACTTAATCACTTAAATCCTTTAATGTTTAAAATATTATACACAGATTCTTTAAGAATTGTACGCACATAACAATTAGACTCTGTTGTCAATGTTTCACTAGTATATTTGTTAGTAGATTATATCTAGACTCTTTGAAATTTATAGATGTGTAATACTTAGAACTCTCAACTTTAAAATGTTATACTTAAACAAAAAATATTTTAATCAAAAATAGAATGTCAAATATTTTAAATTTTACGACAAAAATTTAAATTTCAGAGGGTTTGAGTGTAATTCTCCCTTAATTTTACATTTTTGTCAAAATTGATTATTGAATATAAAAGTATTAGCGATACCTTGTGACTAAAGTTATTGTACACTAAATTATGACACTGTGTATATATAGCTGAAGTGTGTATATAATGAGTGTATGTATGTGTATGCAGCTGTGTGTGTTTTGAGTTTGTAAAATTTGGGGAGAAAGTATGTACTACGTGTGTGAAATTTGAGAGAAAAAAATATACTCCTCATAAGTTCAAAAATTTAACTATCTTACTGTATAGATAAAAAAAACCTTTCATACGAATTAATAAAATAAACCACTCACTTAGGAACATAAAAACTTATTCTCATAAAAAATATAACGACTAAATAAATTAATATGCCTCGATAGAAAATTTCAAAAGGCTTGTGTTCTCAGTATGATTTGAACCCAGATAAATTTTTGATCATTTGTCAAAGAAAAAAGAACGAGTAAATCATTGTATGTTCTTGTCATATGATTTCCCTATATTCAAATGCTCCAAGTCTATTGTTTCATTAAATGTCAAATATTGTAATGGATTATATTTTCAAAAAAGTACAATAGTAGAAAAATGTGGAGTTATGTTTAGACATAGAAATGATATGCCTAAATTACTTTGTTACTTTTATTTTATTGAGTGCATATCTTGCGTATGTTACATTGTAACTTAGGTATCAAAAGGTTCAATTTATAAAATTAGTCACTTTGTGTTGAAGATAAAGTTATTTATGCGTGACCTTCTTCGTATAAAATGTCTAGTATGTTGGATTGTCTTTTTTTTTTTTTTGGTTAAATTTCTTTATTTGATTATTGTATGAAAATAATCGCCGTTATTTTTATGTTAGAACTGTTATATGGACTTAATCAGATTAAATCCAATTCAACATAATAGTTAGATTAATTGTGAGTTTTAATAATAGATAGAGTCCAAATTCAATCCAATAACTATTAAATTTAAATCCCCAAATTAACTAGGTCCTAAAATTAAATCCAAATATCAATTTTCTTTTAAGTTGAGCTTACTTTGAAGCTGTCCAGCAATAGGACACTTCTTTTTAGGTACTTCACTCCTGGTGCTGATGACAAAATGGTACTGCCTATTTTATCATGAAATGCTTTTGAGTGCAACAAACATTGAAGCCAATCTTGTTGGATCTTATGTAGACATAAAAAGACAAGGCATTATTTCTTAATTGCCGCATGAAACGGTGCCAACCCGCAGGTAGGCACACAGCACAGGAGAATTCATCCTTGACATATAGCATTGATTTGGGCCAATGGACCTGCAACTTAATTAGTAGGATATAAGTTGACCTCTTTGAAGCTTTAATTTGTCTAAAATCTCCATTGTTTCTCGAAATCTAAACCTCAGACTATATTAATGATGAAAGATTGAATCAGCAAGGAGAATATACTGTCCATGTAGAAATTGTCTACCTTCTCCAATACAGACTACACAGATACCTGAACAAACAGTATCGCATAACATGTGTTGTACCCATTGCATAGCTACAACCATGAAAAAACCCCCCCAAAAACAAACAGAAACGTTCACAAAAAGATAAGAGGCTGCTTCGGTGCTTCCATTAATTGTACAAAGCTATCTTCATTTCTTGAGCCACCTGAGATGGGTTTATTGAGACATTAAACTTCAACATGGCCACGATCCAAAATGTCTCTTTTATTTGGACGTGGCTAAAAAAAAGGGGGGGGGGGGGGGTGTACGTTCATGCCTCGCAATTTAACAGCTGATCAAGAAAAGGTTGGCATGAATGTTTAAATCTCCAGAACAATAACTGCAAATCAGAGATTAGGACCTGTCAATACTATTGCTGGGGTTTGCATGTTTCTTGTATGTTGTGTTAGAATTAATGGTGGAAATTGAGGCTAGTTAGCAGAATAGTTCGACTTACATTCAGAATCAGTCTTGACCCATTTACTTCCATCACTTGTTTTCTTCCTCCTTTCGTCTTCTTCAGAAGTCTTTGGCCTATTGTCCTGGAGGTATTTCTTTGTGGATGAAGACGAAGGTCGAGAATAATTTTGAGGGTGTATATTTTTGGACAGCAATGTCCTCAAAAGCTGTGGTCATGACACACATTTCAAACCATATTTCAAAATCGTTATTCACACACAAACACGCTCACGTTATATGTATGTATGTATATGTAGATGTGAATAATTGGTGTAATTACCTTCTCCATTCTTGACTCTTGAAACGTATCTCTCAAACTGGGAGCTGGTGCGAACCCACCTCTGCACACAAACATTTTCTTGAGAAGGAAAGAAACTGATTTTTTCCCGATTGCCTTCTTCTTGTTATCCATGCAAACCTCTTTGCATCTACCGAGTATTACTCTGATAGTTCGCTCAATATCTTCTTCATCTGAAACCGTACTGCATAATGTGTTCTCAGAAAGCCTACGATCAACCTCTAAGCTTGAAGGGCAATTAAGGAATTTATCCAATGGGAGATCAGCTATTTCTTCTTCAACTTTGGAAATTGGTTTTCGTTTTAAGAGCTTTGTCAACTCTTCTTGTAGCTTTCCAACTTCTTCTGGTGTGAATTCTGCTAGATCTTCAGAGGAGGAAGGGTTATCTTCAAGATCATTTTGGTTTTCTGGGTTTTGTTTTAGATGATCATTGTTACCAAACGTTCCTATTGCCAGCAGTCCATTAGGCCAGTCACTGAACTCTTCATTGCGGGGTTCTTGCTTTGAATGATCTACAATATTAATAGAAATATAACTAAAAATTAATAAAAGAAAGCATTTGTTTCCACTCTTTTCGAAAAAAATATGTACATGTACTAATCATAATTCAAAGCTCTCTTGTTTCGTCATAGTTAGTTGGGCTAGCTGTGCAAACTTCTTTTTTGTAATTAACCCCGATGGTTTGAGGGCAGCTTTTAATAAACAAAAAAAAAAAAAGGGAAATATATACAAGTGTTACACCTTTATTAAAGCAAGGCTACAATGGAAATATATAAAATAAAAAAAACCTAGGTGAATAATACCAAATATTCACGAGGAAGAGTAAATCTTGAGACATTTTTCAACGTGCAAAAAGAGAAGATCATAATATTTTCCAAGACAATTTGCACTTTACACTTGTTCTCGAAGATATGAATTAAAAACTTCATGACTTAGATTTTAGGCCCCCCCCCCCCCCCCCCCAGTGGAAATAGAAAATGATGATCCATGAGTCAATTGGTGATTTTCATATTGTGATGATATTAAATTTATCAGGAGAGGACAAAGTTGTGATGAAGCATACCATGTGAGACTAACACCTCCAAGGAAGCTAGTTAGTGTTAGCCATTTCACGTAGGACTATGTCTGTTCATGAACACACACACACACACTCTTTAATTAATGGTCCTCGGGGTTTTCCACTTTCCCAGTTTTAGGTAGTGGTCCAGGTTTAAATCTATGCTAATTTAGGTCATGTGAAGATCAGCCTCAAGTGACCACCCATTATTTTCATCACATGAGAGAAAAAACTGATTCAGCGGAACCATGAAATACATGTAAAATAAGGACAACAAAAACAAGTTAGAAATCGAAATCCCGAAAATTCTAGTAGATGAAGAAACACAAAAAGATTATAGAAGGTTGAAAAGTAGACTATATACAAAAATAAAATTGTATCTTAGACTTGGGGATAAGAAAACATGTCTGTCAGGGTTTGCATAAATAAGAGATCCGTCCAGATCTTTGTTAAACCTTTTTTTTCCTTCTTTTTTGTGTGTAGTGAACCTTAGATTAACCCAAAACCAGTAGAACTTCTGTAGGATATACGAGCACAAATTAGAAAAAAAAAACCTGAACATGTCATCATGTTTCAAATCCATAATGCAATGCTGTGTGTTTGTGCGATTACTATATCTATGATCAATAACCAACTAATCTCGTGAAAACTACCAGTTACAAAATCACGTAAGATTACAACACCGTAATACACACTATATAACAACTTTGAATACATACTACAAATATTGACTTACGACAAGTAGTAGCAGAATCTGCATTTGTCTTTCTGTTTCCTGGTCCGCCATTAAACTTATTTTGCACCCAATTGAAGAACTGCAAACCAAACAGATCAAAACTCCATATGTAAAATGCCACTTGTTTAGTTTAGAGAACTAAAACTACAAGAATATATACTTCATATTATTCTTTGATAATCTCTCTCTCACCTTCATCTGCGAAGACAGAAGTGGAAGCTCTTCAAAACTTATGGAAAGGTGGTCCTGTGGAGGTGGGCGGTCGCGGAGGCTTGGTACAGTAAGGTGGGGTTGGAGAAGTCAAGTGTTCAGTAGTAGATCCTAGAAGCCAATGAGATTTGAGCTTTGGAAGTAATAAATAAACAAAGGTTTGTGAGGAAAACCATAGCCAAGCTGAGAGCAGCTTCTTTTTATTGGTTCAATTTCCCAAACACACCCTTTAATTTGACAATCCAACTGATCTACTTCCCTCTCTATATGACTCTGTCAACATCCAATCATGCATCTCTACTCTCTCAACCGTTAGCCTTAATTTCAACCTATATACCCATACCCCACTGGCCACTAGCATGAAGACATTCTCTTTTATAGTAATTAGTAATATATAATAAACGTATGCTGCAGGCTCGCTTCTCATACAGAGGACAATACTTACTCGTGTCACCAATTGAATCCAATAGATTGTGAAAATGCTGATCCTGAGGTAGTATTTTAAGAATAAAAGCTTTGGAATCAAATCTCAAGATAATCTTATCCAACGGTGAGGAAAGTGACACAAGGGCTTTCTGTAGATACCGTTGCTGGAGTGGCTTCAATCACCACACGTAATGAGAATGAGAATATCCTGGTGAAGTTTGCTATTTCATTTTATCATGTGCATATGGTTTTCGGTTTGCGGTCTTTGGTTTTACCATATCCGAGCCCCCATCCAATGACTCCATCGTTTTCAAGACACTGTACGAGTTCCATATATATAACAAGAAGTGAAGTGAAGTGTAAGTGCTTGGCAAGTCCTCATACTGCAGCAGCCTATCAAAATGAGTTTCATGTTATACTTTATTGCAAAATGGATAAAAGGAGGAGACAAAATCTTACTACAATTTACAATGGCTCATTTGTTCAAGCCATAGGCTGTTGAATCGAACCTAGGAATAGATATTCTCAAAACGAGAGTAAAACTACCTAATGTGCATCTCTCTTGTACTTTCCTATAGACAAAAAATGTTGTACATACAAAACGACTCTATCTCATTGCAATTAGGAAGCTATTTTTCATGACCCAACAAAAGTTTCATCTCATGTTTCAGTAATTTCCCGTGACAGAATCAAGTCTACCCAACTTCTGTGAAGAATGTTATTTATAACATAAAACAAAGTAGACTTTAATAAGTCTATTTGACAATTTCAAATAAATTCATCTAACAGCCACCAATATCCTTCTTAAAATTATTTACATTGAATTTTCCCCCTTCCTAAATTTTTCACTTCTCACTTACATTGCACCATATTTTCAGGCACAAGTTACCTAAAAGACAATTCCTCCCAGACTTATGCCCCGATTAGTACAATAGAAAAATGAAAGAACGAAAAATTAGAACTATAGATAAAACATCATATTTAGTTAAAGAATGATGAAAAAAATAAATAGATTAACTTTCCTTTTAACTTATCAAAATCAATCTCTTCAAAATTAAAAAGAAAATAAATATAAAGTTAAATATTTGTGTTGAAATATATTTTATTTGCCTATATATCATTTGATATATACATATATTATGTATATATTAATTTCAAATATAAATACAATATATATATATATATATATATATATATATATATATATATATATATATATATAATTTTTTAAAAGATTTAAAAATTAAAATTTAAAAAATATTTTTTTCATCTTACAAAGCACAAAAAAAATAAATTATTTTTATTTTTCATCCATCCTATCAAACATAAAAGAAATAAAATGTCTTATTCTTATTTTTCTTTCTTGGAAGATAAAAAATATATCATTCTTTCTTTTCATCATTCCTACCAAACGAAACATTAATTTGTGGTTTCGACTAAACAGCCTGGTGGTGACGGAAAAAAATTCTGCCGATATAGCCTTTGGGAGGAGAGTAGTATATAGCATGCGTGTGCCAAACCAGTACCTTGATATCCTTCTCGAAACCAATAGAGATTTTCGTGCTCTTGTGTCATCGATTCCAAAAACCATCACGAAAACATCTGAATAAATATGGGTGATGATTCATCATATATATATATATATATATATATATATATATATATATATATATATATACTTCTGAAACTGTAAGTAGCTAATTACCCCCCTTCCCCCTTTCCCCTCCCCCAAAAAAAAAAAAAAAAGGTAGCTAATTACCAACCGTGGCAAGTATCGCAACATAGGATAGGACCCTAAAATGTTGATACACTCTATTAATCTTATTGGGCACAAGCTGGGTCGGGGTGGGACGTGTCTCCCATCACGTACTGTCGGACCAACACGTGTACTAAAGGGGTCGGGTTGACCTTTTCTTCAATGACCTATTATTCTCCATTTCCAAATCCCAACTGGTCTATTATAGCATTTTCCATAAGAAAATCACTGCTACCCTCTCTCTCTCTCTCTCTCTCTCTCTCTCTCTCTCGTTCCTGTTTATTTTCTTATCTGTTTATTCTCCTGTATTCGGCCATGGAAGGTATAACTTCAAAATGATTGGATCATAGAGATTTGCCAAAATAATTTTTTTCTTTGAGAAATATTCTCAGCCTAACACTTACACATGCAAAATAATTTCCGTATAAACTTCTCCTACCCAACTCATGTCTTCTTAAATGTAGTTTACATCTACAAATTCTCTAATCAACAATACAAGATATCAAGATAAAAGTATTATGCAGAAAGCGTTAAACTGGGAATATATTTCATAAACGTTATTTTAGCAAAAAAAAAAACTCTCACACTAGCTCACTGGAAACCAAGCGATCAAATAATCAATCCTTGTTAAAAAAAAGTAATCAATCTTTCATATCTCTTTGTTCACCAAAAAAAAAAAAATTCATCTCTCTCCCTCTCTCTCTCTAGCATTATTAAAGAACTGATCAATAAGCTCGCTTGGCGTAAGATGGTTGTTTGGCTCAATAATAGAATCAACTAATCATTGAACTTAAAGTTCATATGGACTCTGTAGATGGAACTGATAATGTACAATAAATGACTGTTTCTGCTTGAACCAGCAAGAATGTGTGGTTTAGTTGAGATTAGATACACTACGAGGACAAGAAGAAAAGAACATCACTCAAAGCATTAGAGAATAATTTATTACACGAGTATGCTAAATAGATTATGATACAACCACAAAGTTGGGAAAAAAAATATATTAGCAAGTTACATTCATTCAAATAAAGAAGGCAGCATCTTTTGAGGACAAGAGGAAGAAAAAATTATGCAAATGTGAGAAAAAGTAGAATATGCCAAACAATAGCTACCCGCAAAAGGAAAAATAGATAATTTAATAAATGATACAGTTTAAGAAAGATCAGATATACAAAACCTTATCTCATATACGCTGAAATAAAATTAAACTCTAATATCTTGAATGAAAAATAACTACCACGACATTACACATTTTTACCAATATAACATTTTAACTAATGAAAGATAGCTAACGTCACTCATCCCATCACCTAAATTACTTTTTTTGTAATAAACAGTAAATTTTTGCATATTCCTCGAGATGCAGGTAAGAGGGAAGAGAAAATGCAATGTAGCACAATCTCTCAATCCCATCAAGATTTCTAACTTTTTAGTGGGGAAGAAAGAAGCCATGTGAGTGATTACAACTACTAGATGTCTTGTGTTTAGAAACTCAATCTATATTTTGCACTGGTGGATGAGACTTGCTAAATATGGAATGTTTTGCACCTTACTTAAAATAAAGAAACACACTATGTGATGTGGACCTCTCTACTCCATAAAGTGGCAGCCATCATGGTTTGACTAGCTCGAATTTCATTGGATCTTCAATGCATCAATAAAAATAGTATTTTATTTATATTAATATACTGCCAATATATAATTATTATGCAAGGTGGACCCTGGAAAACTCATACATTAAGCAAGGTTCTAATAAAAAGTATACTCTTTGATGAAGGACCCGGCACAGACAACCCGAATTTATGGACGACGCCACCGAGACAATGACTGAAAAGTTAAACGCTGCTTTACGGAGCAATGCACATGACATGCCCAAGGGAATATACACCATGAGATCATCATATTCATATAGATAGATAGATAGGAACACGTCCGTCCTTATATGGACATCTCAATCAACAAAATTCTTTTAATTGATTCATTTACACAACCCACAAATTTTCCAACACAGGTTAAGGCAGACTAAATCGTCACTACTAATGGATAGGTGGCTGGGAGCCTTTGTTGGGTCTACTGTACCTCAAAGAGAACATCTGAGATAATGGAGAATTGAGTATAAAATACAAGAAGAAAAGGAAAGATCAAGTTCGCATTACACTTGCTGACCACCTATTGGATGCACATAACTTTCTATCAACTGAATCATTCCCAATGTTGGGAAAAGATCCAAGAAACTTAAAAATGATTACAAATCTGTAATCCATAAAATAGGTCCATAACATGGCAGGAGTTGCAATTTGCATAGCATTCATCAGTCTGGGAATTAAATAATTCTACAGAAATAGTGATTAACATCATATCATCATTCTAGGATATCCATGTACACAATAAGTTGGAAAAAGACCAGGAAAGAAGTTGATGACAATACAAAATTAAAAATGAAAAGGAACCCTACCGTATGAACACCCAACAACAGGTCTCGTAGGCTCCACATTGACTTAAATAAATACTTGCCCATTTGGAGAGTTCTATGGGTAAAGAAGAATAAAGATATTAATGCTATAAGGTCTGTTTTGAGTGTCTACGATTTACAATCCAACATGCTTTGGAACTTCTTTTCCGGTGGTCATAAATAAGACAATTTAAAAGAAATCCTTAATAAACAACTAATAAGTCTTGGTTCATTTCTGCCTTCAACAAATATGTTAGTCCAATGTGAACACAAGTGAAGAATACAGTAAAACTGAACCACTTGCAATACACTCTCAAGATTAGGCAAATGAGGTATGTTGCTCAGTTTGGTTGGCAAGAAGATGGAGAAAAAAGACGTGACAATTTGGAATCTTACAGTATATTTAAGGCTAGGAAAGTTGTTATAAGAATTAAATGTCTCTGCTCTATTTTCTCTTCAACCAAATGGAGCACAATAAAATAAGTTACGAAAGAAAAAAAATCATTTCCTTTCCCTTTCCAAAGCATGTATTGCCCTGAAAGGACAAATTTGCTAATCCACCCTAACAGTTTCACTGATCATTTGTTTGTGTCCAAGCCATCTTAATCATATCGAAACATCTTCTAACCAATTATTTGTGAGAGGATTCCCATATTCACTTCGACTGCACCATTTTTTTCAAGAGTGACAAACAGATGAGGCAACAACAGATTACAGTCATTCCTCACAATTCTACGTGAAAGGGAAGATACTGCAATCCTCATAATTGGTGCATAAGCAGGAAATCTATAAGTAACATCATAGAACTTAAAGAGGATAGAGAAAACAAAATAATTAGAGTAAAATCACCAATGTATGATTTAATGCACATGCACCCACAAAAAAATGCTATGTCATCTATTGTAAATAAGAGGATGGCCACAATTGGTGGCTTTATTCATCTAACGATTTTTATTGAAAGAGCATGAGCTCATTATATCATATATGTTATGTCATGTAAACTGAGATAGAGATTAAAGGTTACCTGAATAAGTCTCCTTAAAGAAAAATAATCTCCCTAGCAGCAGAGTGGTGAATCTGAACCATGAAAACAATTTATTTCTAAATCCAGTCCACACAGGGCTATGATGCACAAAACAAAATTTAAAGCACAACCTCAGGGCAGAAAAGTAAGAGTTCACAAATCATAGGAATATGATTAATAGTCCCATACATGAGTTGCAATGTGTGTGTATGTGGGTCCGAGAGAGAGTAGTTCTGGACCACTGACAAATGATAATAAGTTTCAAATGCCCATACCTAAGATTTCATGGCTGAAATGCGATGCAAGTCAAATGGAGAGGCTTTGCTAGTGGTGATAACGAGCTCAAAGATAATAACAATACTTTAGAAGATACTAGCAAACCCCCAAGGCTAAAGATCACATCAAATTAATTTGCAAGCACTGTTGGATGCAATGGTAAAAGCTTGGAATGCCATTGCATAAATAAGCAGATAAAAGTATAAGGATAGTCATGGCATGTTAGTAAAATAGGACATTATGCTTCTTCCCAATCCACCCCTTCCCAGAATCCCAGAGGGAGAGCATAGGTGCAAAGCCATGGACCTCTTTTACCCCAAACAAAGCGGAATGAGATTGAACGGCCACTGATCAGCCAGTAACAGTCAAAGATAGAAGCTATACAATAATTCTACATCGAAATGGTTCTATAATGGCCATTGCAGCACATAATCATCATAGCATAGCAGAAAATATAGGTGCGAGGTCCATAAGCACTAAGCAGCATTGCATCCTACTAAATTGAGATTTACGTACAAAATATAAGTAGCAGAACTCAGGCAGCTAAGACAATTCATATAATACCTGCTTCTACGGTGGCAGATTAATTAGATAGGTCAATGTCTTTAGAAGAAATGTAGCATCTCACAATCACGAGAGAAGAAGATACCGCGTCATGTATTTTACAACCCTTGGAAAGAAGTTCTTTGAAGAGTCTCGACATAAAAACTTTCTACCCTATACTCATCATGCTCAACCACAACTTCCCTACAAATGTTGACGCCAGACTCCTAAATAGTTTTCTTTGTAACATTTGTAAGATTACCAGAAAATCCATCTGGTTTTATTGTCGTTAATGTGTTCTCTTTTTCTGTACTAAAATCCCCAGAACTACAATTGTCAAAGCATTTGCAATACTATAAGATATAGAGCAAAAACTTTCAACAAGAAATATGTTTTCGTCCAATGGAAAAGGCAATTTTATCGGACACTATTTGATACGCTCGGCATATATGATTTCTACACACACCTTTATGGAAAACTCTAACTGACTTTTTTTTTCTATTTCATGTTTGGTCTTTCAATAAGTAGTCAGTTGCAGACTAAAAAGCCTTATAGTTAGACTTAACATTGATTGAAGCAGATGTTGAACAGAATGTACCAGTCAGACCTGCAAGCACTGAATAGTATGCAGTAGTAGTTTTTAATCATACGATGTGTATACTTTTAATCTGACTTTTAGCGGTAGTCAGCCGTCCACGACAAAATTCCAGTGAAATTAGAAATGGTCCTAGAGTAAATCATTAGATTCAGTGAATGGTGACTCATCCAACCCTAAAAAGTCTTTGATTACAATCAGTTGGGGGTTCTAGTTGCAATAGTGGGTGAAAGAAGAGACATCTCAGTTAAAATTGCTTTGTTATATAACAAAATCGTCATGCACTCATTAGATAGGTAAAGAAAAACTATATTGAATGCTCCAATACCAAAATTATCAAATTACATTCTTAGATTACCAGAAAGAAAAGTTACTTCTAAAATGTCTCTGCATAAAACCTGCGAGTGGAGCATGACAAGCCATTCATTGAGTGGAAATTCTAGAAACCTGAGTTCAAGTAGAATAAGAAACACTACGGACATGAACATGACTTATGGTAACTTGTATGCACGTATCACAATAAACATAAGGGAATGGTGATGCACTTCTACGCTAATCAGACACCAAGGATGAGTTCTTCCAATAAGTAAATACAAACACAACTAGCAATAACTAAGATCAATACAAATAACAACAATATAAATACACATAGCAATCAGCAAGTTGAGAAAAAGCCCTAGCATTGCTCACCTTCGACTAAAAGAGATGAAGGAAATCAGAAATTTTTGCGAAAAACGGAATCCATTGGAGATTCGTCCGAAGCATCTAAATCTGGAGAGAATCCGGTGATAAAAATAGATCGATACAAGACGAGTTATAGATTCAAGAGCAAATAAACGACGAAATGCGAAACCTAAGGGCAAGAGGAAGGGAAGTAGAGCTCTTGCTATTGTCATGTGAAACCAAAGGGCGGGAAAAATACAAAAGCAACTTAGAGAGAGAGAGAGAGACAAAAATCAGTGACGGGAACTTTTGACAAGAATCTTTTTTACTAAAAGGGTAATTCTATTTACCCTTAAAAAGTTGATCGAATTTAACGAGATAATGACGTGATTTTAATGAAATTATTGTATTAATATTAAATTTTAATATTTGACGAACTCTACAATTAATCCAAAAATTATAGTAAATTAGGTCTTAATAGCATTTCTCTTACTAAAATACTACCTTTTTGAAATAAAAATATCGATTTACTGTACTTTTAAATTTATTTACTGATCTATTGTAGTTTTTAAAAGTAAAATCAACAATTTCGTTTTCACTATGAAAACAAAATCAACAAGAACGCTTTTAATACTTATAAACATGAATTTTACCTTTTTGTTGTATCGCATGTTAAAAGTAAAATTTCTGATTTTGTTTTCAAAGTAGAATCAACAATTCTGTTTTTAAAAATTACAGTAGATTGATAAATAAATTTAAAAATGCGATTGATCAATTTTTTTATTTGAAAAGAGCAATATTTTGATAATAGATTCCTTTAGACAAGGCATTTTTACTTGAGCACGGAGACTCATACTACAGCCACTTTCACCCTTCTTCCAAAAAGAAAGAAAATAGAATATAACCACATTACACCCATACTTTAATACTAAAAGTGTATTTAACTCTAACGAAATTATAATTTTTTTTTTATTTTATCTGTGTTCGGTACAATTTATGTGTATTTCGACTAAACCCTTTTTCAATCCAATTAAAGACAGACAATCCACGCGCGAATTTAGGGTATTCATGAGGAATAACTCAACCCTGTTATCACTTAAATTATTCTTTGGAGTTTAAAGAAATCATAACTGTAAGACAAATGAGCAAAAATAAATAGACAATAAATCCTTCTACCATTTCAAAGGTACATCATTATATCATTTGAGATTCAACCTGTTTTAGTTATTTATTTATCTACTCATTGAACTTACTTGTAATTAGAATATATATGTTGGTAAAATAATATTGTCACCTTATATTACTTGCTATAAGGAGATTTTTCGTTTGTCAAATGGGAAGTAAAGGAATTTGTGATGGTTAAAAATACTCATTATACGAATTTTTACAAATCATTACGCTTTTTCTTAGAAAATGTTATAATGATGGCAAATGGCTTGTGCAATTGCTATCATGAAAAGTGGGTCATGACCAAATAATTAGACAATTTCAATGCACATCCAAAATTCAATGAAAGTCAAGAAAATCGAATTACCCTTTGTTTCTTCTTTTCCGTATAGCTTTAAACAAAAGAAAAAGGCAAAAAAAGAAAAGAAAAGGAAGACCTTTGGACACTAATCATTGAGTATGATACGTTAAATAACATGCCGCACTCCATTGAGATTGAATCTGTGAGCGTAATTCATCAGCATTAGATAGAAATCAAACACAAACGATCAAAAGAATTTATTGATATCAGCACAACATGGTGAAAATAGCATATTTTCATAGGAGTACCATTCTTTAGTATTTTTTGTGTCAATTTCCCAATTTGTCAGCACCAGTCGCATGAAAAACATACTTCACAACAACAATTGATGCACTCAAAACATGCAAGGGCAGTGCACAGCTGTGTGAGAGCAACTGCACACTGGTCACTAAGTCCTGAACAAAACTGGATAAAACACATGCAACAGCAGCAATCAAGCAGCCTGCTGCAACAATTTGAAGCAGTCTTCACGATCGATCCTGCAGGTACGTGTAACTTTTGTTCTTCAGATGCCGGAGGAAGATTTTCAGTAGTTGCCATCAAGTTGCCAAAGCCAACACCCGAACTTCGCAGGAAAATGATCTTCTTGTCATCCAAGTAGCCTGTCCTCTGCAGGAAAATGATCTTCAAGTCATTTTTGCACTTTATGAAAATAATATGCTAATTCTAATTTTATTATAAGTAGAAACATACCTCTAGTGGTAGAACGGATTCAGAAGCTTGCTTCCCTTTATCAATCTGAGCTAGAACTATGCAGGTATACTCTGAAGGAATCCCTAACTGCATGCTCATTTTTGCAATCTGCAATCATGGAAAAAAAAAAAATCAAACAAATGCATCGAACATAACATTAACCCAAATTTCAGCAAATTTCCATTGATTCTCTTTTGACTCTCAGCAGTCTACCATATCAATCAAAACTGATTTCGTATTCCACTTTAGGAATCATATTACCACTGTTTTACTACTGCTAATCCCTGTTCATTGGAAGTAAAAAAAAGTACAACCAAACCTTTTCCTCTAGTTGTTTACTATCCAACAACCATGCCTGAGCTGTGAGTGTATCAATTTGTCTCCTTGCAAATACCTGCTGGAGACAAAGAAACAATCAGAGCAGAAAAAGGTGTATTACCGCCCAAAATGCTACCTATGCATTTCAAATGCATTAATAATCCAACACTAAAATATAAGACGCTGGTACTACTGAATAGCTGATAGATCAGGTGAGTCAGCCATGATTGCTAAACTCACCAAACCAGCTGCATAGGCAATATAAAGAGCCTGTGGGGGGAATAGTCTTTTTCCTGAGACTTTGCATACTGTATTCATCTCCAACTCCTCAATCCCGCTCAACTCGCCAAATCAGCTGCATAGGCAATATAAAGAGCCCGTGGGGGAATAGTCTTTTCCCAAGACTTTGCAAATATATATTTGGGAAGGCAGGAAAAATGGATAGAGAATATCTTCTTATAGAGGAGGCCACAAACTTATGTAGGATTGCTAACTAAAAAGCGAAGATGCAGATGTCCAGTATAGATAAAGTGACATCCAGCTTTAATCTGAGGTAAAAACACAGTGCCACTAACAAAGAGAAAACATATGTTCTCTAAATACTACTGATGACACATTTACGGAAACGTATATTTTTGATCTGAAAACTCTTATAATTAAGGCAGATATTGATCACTTTATACAAAGTTTAAAGGAAACAAAGAACAAGAATGGGCACATTACTCTTTCAATAGACATGCCCTTTGTTTTTTGCACTTTCACATCTATCACAAAATTGCTCAGATCTGCCAAAGTACCACTAGCTTTAACCGAGTTTGGAATGTTTCCGCAGTATCTACCTGATATAATCAATGGACTTCCAGACAAAAGATCTGGAAGATGAATAGGGTACAACTGCAATGACAATACCCATAAAATAGAAGTATCAGAATGAAGCTGAATGAATAAATTAGCCAAGTACATTAAAATGGCCTGAGTTACTTCATAGCTGGCTGTTTAAGCAACCTATATTACAGAAAATGATACATTAAAGACAAGAAAGGCAACTAGACAAAATAAAACAAGAATACTGACATGCAGAGCATCAAATATGCAGACAACTTGAATAAGAAGAAGGAAGAGTTGTTCAGGATCAAAGTACCTCAAGTGAATCAAGGTGTTCTAGAGCATCAATGGCTATACTTGCAAGAATGATTGAGGAAGCACTATTAAAGAGCCTTTGCATTTGAGAGCTGATTGAATCTTCCCAAATGAACATCAACAACAAATTCAAACGACCACAAAGTTAGATTTCTTACCAATTGATAATAGACCCAGTTAATGAGTGTCAATAAGATATAAAACAGCATTTGACTTAAAAAATTAGTATTTAAATGCTTATCCTTCAGAATTGAAATGCCATAAAAGTATGTCCAAACATCAGAATTTGAAAAAAAGAAAATTTAATTGTCATAGATTACATTCAGGGATGGGCATAATCATAGAGACCATCTGCTGCTATAAATTGCTCTTTCACCAGTCTATTTGAGCAAGATTTTCAGAGGGATATTTGTTTCAAACTTTCAGTTCTATTACCATTATCTGTCAACCTTTTTATTTATGTATATATCTATCTCAAAAGAAGCAATTACTATCTTGTTGATTTGCAAAACATTGAGCCAAAAAGGTTACCAGGAGTGGAGGTCTATAATAGGGCAGTTATTGGAGTATTTGGAATTGGAAGAGAGAAAGTGGCCTCACTTTTTTTTTTTGGTGGAAAGTAAGCGGCCTCACTTATTTATTAAGGATAAAACGAGAATAAAAGTGCAAAAGTTTTAAGCAACACTTACAGACAACTTATTTGAAAAGATAAAGTAGATAATATATATATATATATATATATATATAACTTTTACTAGACAGAATGAAATAACTACAATAATTTGTTTTAGAACTGTTAACATGATTTCCACAATCATTTTCTTCTTTGTTATGTTATTTAATTTTCCCTAATCTGCTAACAACTTCCTAATGGGATATATTGGATTTTAGGAAAATCCCAAGTTCTTCTATTTGCTGGAATGTGTGCTTAAATTGTTCATGACAACGGAACCAATGAAGTCCAAGGGCATGATTGATGCAACAACTAACTCAGTTAAAAGGCATACATCATTTCGATTGAGATAATGAAATAAATCATTGAGACATGACAATGGAAATAGTAGAACAGACCAACATCAAAGGCAGCATCATAATAACCCCTCCCAATTTGTGCTAGCATTTGCAAGAAGTAATGATTACAGTATGAACCTGGAAAGGAAGCTCACAAAATCAAATCAGCTACAAATTCAAAAAAAATAAAGATGTTACAAGCTTGTGGTATATAATGATCGTGCTAAAAGGCAGATGTCAAGAAGGATAAAATAGCAAACAGAACTATTTGTGTATATTTTATTGGAACAAGCATTCAACCAAATGTCAAAATATCATTTACCATGGTTTCACTGCAGCCACATCAATTACAAAAATGGATAACTCATTTGACGATGCAAATAAGAAATCGGAAAGACTAAGAACAACGTAAATAGAGGTAGTCAGGCATAACCTGTTGACAAATGATTCAATGAAATGTTGACACTAAGCAAAGGACAATGGAACAAAAATGTCTTGTGTAGCTGAACTAAAGTAGTTGGTGTGAAGGCTTTGCGCATAATGCAGAACATTAGACAGAACTATTTGTTTATATTTTATTGGAACAAGCATTCAACCAAATGTCAAAATATCATTTACCATGGTTTTACTGCAGCCACATCAATTACAAAAATTGATAACTCATCTGACGATGTAAATAAGAAATCTGAAAGACTAAGAACGACGAAAATAGAGGTAGTCAGGCATAACCTGTTGACAAATGATTCAATGAAATGTTGACACTAAGCAAAGGACAATGGAACAAAAATGTCTTGTGTAGCTGAACTAAAGTAGTTGGTGTGAAGGCTTTGCGCATAATGCAGAACATTAGACAGAACTATTTGTGTATATTTTATTGGAACAAGCATTCAACCAATTGTCAAAATATCATTTACCATGGTTTTACTGCAGCCACTTCAATTACAAAAATTGATAACTCATCTGACGATGCAAATAAGAAATCTGAAAGACTAAGAACGACGTAAATAGAGGTAGTCAGGCATAACCTGTTGACAAATGATTCAATGAAATGTTGACACTAAGCAAAGGACAATGGAACAAAAATGTCTTGTGTAGCTGAACTAAAGTTGTTGGTGTGAAGGCTTTGCGCATAATGCAGAACATTAGACAGAACTATTTGTTTATATTTTATTGGAGCAAGCATTCAACCAAATGTCAAAATATTATTTACCATGGTTTCACTGCAGCCACATCAATTACAAAAATTGATAACTCATCTGATGATGCAAATAAGAAATCTGAAAGACTAAGAACGACGTAAATAGAGGTAGTCAGGCATAACCTGTTGACAAATGATTCAATGAAATGTTGACACTAAGCAAAGGACAATGGAACAAAAATGTCTTGTGTAGCTGAACTAAAGTAGTTGGTGTGAAGGCTTTGCGTATAACGCAGAACATTAGACAGAACTATTTGTGCATATTTTATTGGAACAAGCATTCAACCAATTGTCAAAATATCATTTACCATGGTTTTACTGCAGCCACATCAATTACAAAAATTGATAACTCATCTGACGATGCAAATAAGAAATCTGAAAGACTAAGAACGACGTAAATAGAGGTAGTCAGGCATAACTTGTTGACAAATGATTCAATGAAATGTTGACACTAAGCAAAGGACAATGGAACAAAAATGTCTTGTGTAGCTGAACTAAAGTAGTTGGTGTGAAGGCTTTGCGCATAATGCAGAACATTAGACACAAGCTAAAAACACATTAGCACAATATTGGAATGGTTTGGTGGAGTATTTGTGACCAACACACATAAAAAGATGGATATAAGCGGGCATAAAATGCCAAATCCCTAAAACAGCAGAGCAAATACAACCCCCCCCCCAAAAAAAAAAAAAAAAAAAAAAGAAGAAGAAGATGAAGAAAGAAACTTCACCCTGTATAACATAATTTCAGCCCAGCAATTTTCATTGGAATATCATCACCTGCATGTTACTATGTTACTTAAAGCTTATCAAACAGGGCGATTATTATGCCAATATGAAGTTTACTAATATCCACCAGAGCATAAAAATATGGCATTTTTGGTTGGAACTATCATCTTATAGCTGTACTTAAGGAACATGACTCCTTTTATGATAATAATATTCACATGTTTATATTATACAACACTTATCCAATTACCCATCGATCAGACATGAAACTCTCTCTCGTCCATTAATTATTCTAATATCTGCATCCATTAAAATACATATCTGTACATGCCATTCATGAGCATTAGAGACAATAGTTTTGCACGTGATATATCAACATCTTAGAGATTACGATACTATAGACTACTCTAACAACAAAAGTAAAAAAAACCCTCACCTATGCCAAAAGTTGAAATTCGAGGAAAATTCAATCCTCCGTTTGTGAGGTGACCTTTCATGAGATTAAGAATTTGTCTTTCATCTTCAACAGTCCCATCAGTAATGAGGAAAATGAAAGGAATTGAGTCACCAAATTTGGCCAACATCTCTATTGCCTGACAAAAAGAGTCCAATTAATGCAGATGTGAACTTCAGCTATGCAACTGCTAGAGATGTGAGTCAATGAATAAGCTACTAAGTTAATAACAAGGGCATAAAATAGGGATAAATGAGTTAAATGATCATCAAAGCCATCCAATTCACTGAAGAAACATATTAGAAGAATCACCAAAAAGGGTAGAACAATTTCTTAATAATATTAATCATAAAACCAACGGCTAAAGGACAAAATGTCAGGATCAATGTTCCATTTGATGTGTGCAACAAGGTAAACACAAAAAGCATAAAGAATGCTATGTCACAGTGGTTGTGCCACATATCAGTTAGACATGCATAGTCCATGACTCCATACATTCGATCAATGTAAGAAAGCGGAGATGAACCAGGAATTACGAATGTGATCACACACTTCTGTGGTTATTTCTTCTAATTATTATCCAACATTGAGCATTCCTCATTGGCATGGTATAAAACGATAATTTGTAAAACTCGATATCAGAAGCCACTGATAACCAAGAGAGCTAAACCAGTTGAGAATATTTCATCAGTGAGTGGCTCAAACATGTTGATAACTAGTAATTACCAGCTTTAGGGGAAGTAAAATGTTGGTGCTGCCCTCTGCAATAAAATTTATGCTAATCCATTTAACAGCATTTTCGATTGCTTCCTTGGTGGCTAGATGCATTGACGATGAGAATAATGAAGTATTCCCATTGAAAGCTATGATGTTAAAAGAATCTACTGGGTTGAGCTTGTACAGGGCCGCCAATAGTGCATCTTTTGCATTCTCAAGAGGGCCTCCTTGCATGCTTCCACTTATGTCAACTACAAATACCACTTCTCTTCTGAAAACCTATCAGATTAACTAAAGTGGGTGAGGATAGGCATATTACCATAGCAACAAACATAAAGATCAAGCAGAATGGTTTAAAATTCCGCAAAAAGGAAGACAATGCAAGCCATAATTGTGGACAATACCATAGAGACTTGATACTAAGAAGAAAAGAATCAGTGCATCGCGGTAGAAAGTAAACAATCATTTTAGTGTCTACTAATGTACAACAATACATACGTACTTAATCGTGCAAAGTGCCACCTTCTGTAATAATAATAGCTACTTGAGTTAATATTTCAAAAGTTCACCAGATTTTAGTACCAAAAGTCAAGTTTGTTTAGCTCAATGCATCAGGCCTTGTAGAGCAATGTCTGTATGTGTGCACATGCGTGTGTGCATGCATATAAAAACATACTTTAGACATTGCAGTTATTTGGCTTTACAAGACCTAGTTTCACCCAATTCTGTAACTTTGTAACTTAAAAGCAACAGTCATCTTTAGTGCACCATGAACAAAAATGCAAGTATGTTCAAAGAGCTAGGGCCCGTGCAACAGTACGTGTCTTCTGAAAAAGAACACAACATTTTCTTAAAATTGTTGATCAAATACGGAAAATTAAGTTAATTCTCATGTATATTGGCTAACTAACCTTCCTATGGTGGTTAATCCCAGGGAATAGATAAAACCAAAACATTTCCCTCTGATCAACATCATCCAGAGAGGGGGATTGCAACAGCAGACTGCCAAATATATCACTCGCAGAAACCTAAAAATTCAGTAGCCAAACAAGAGAATAACTGTGACATGTATGGAAAATGAATTTCACAACTAAATCAAATCTCTACACCTAATCAGATTATCATCAACTATAGTCCACAAACCTACTTCAAACCACTTTGAAGGTATTATAAGTAGTTTACAGCAGGAAAAAATATAAATGTGTAAGGTCTTACGGCATACAGACAACTGAAGTCATTAGTGGACCATGTCTGAACTTCTGCCTCATATAAAAAGCTGAATTTCCCATCCCGGCGTCTTAATTCCTGTGAAGTGATATAAAACTGTAATTGAATTTATACCCAGACTCAGCTGAAACATTTAATGCTAACATACCTTTAAAGGATGGCTAGTAGTTTTATGCAAAACCTCTGTCCCAGTACCCAAGCTCACATTCAACAATATCTTTTCTTTTTTAGACATTTTCTTTCCAACAGGTGTGACATGTGCTGGAAAACTAAATGGAACACTGAGGCAACATTGACCATCACGAAACGATAGTTTGTGGGACCAACTGAATTTAATAGAAATAGTGGTTCCTCCATCAACCTTGAACAAAAACATAAGAATACACTGTTTCAAATTAAAGGGAAAAATGAGAAGAGAGGTGCAATTAAGAGTGCAATATGACTTGCTAGCAACCTGAGGAACCTTGAACGTGTATATCTGGCCTTTTAACAAGAATCCATCATTAGGGTTGTCTGTATCCTTTGCATCTCCCATTGTAATGAGTTGGGTGTCATATGATCTTCTAGTACTATCAACTTTGACACCTAGAACTGAACCCTGTTAGCCAAATCATTTATTTTTGAGAACTCCAATTAAGAAATTTTAACGATAAAAAAAAAACACCCAGCAGGTAAGAGCATCTCATATATTTTGTAGAATTGAACATTACCTATGATAATCTTCAGCGATGATGCTTCAGTTATGCTCTATCATAAGTAAAGGCAAGCTTTCAAGTGTGTATTATAGTATCAAAAATAACAGAAATTATTCAGTTGGTACCTAAGTTAACTATACGAAGCCCCATACCATTCGGAGTTGTTGGGGTCATTAAAAGCTCTCAAAGTAGTCTGCAGTATTTGTATAAAATCGAATGCATGACTGACAGGAGATGCAATGGATTGTTTTCTGTCAACTAAATACCAGTACATCACACAATCAACCATCCAACAACATCTGAATCATCCAAATCCTAGCAGACTATTAGTAGTCGTGGCTATATAAAAGGTACCGTGGAACAGAAAAACCATGGCACGTGTTCATCACAGTTTATGTCCGGAGAGCAAACATTAGCTTTCAAAATCCAAAAAAACAAAAAATGACATGAACGCTTCCGGAATTCATATCATTGTTGGTCCTTTCAGCATAAAATTCGTTTGAGTTATATAAGAATACTTTTGGAGTCTCATACTGTCATTTCAGCTGTTTTTGATACAGAGGAAGCAAAGGTATAGGATGTAACTTTAAGGATTCTTACTCAAAATTGCGAGATCCTTAATTTTTAAAGCCATCATCCTTGTTTATTCTCAACTAAAGTCCATTAAAATAAAAAAATCCTTCTTCCTCATTAAAAGAAATAGAAAATTGACTTAAATGATAATTTCTCCCATGCATTCTTTTTCCCTTTTTGATGCATTAATGGCAGCTATTTTGGAAAAAAAAAAAAACCATTTTGAATAGTTTAGATGTTAATTTTAGCAACTGAAATTAATTTTCTTTATTTTTGTAGGCAAAGAATAAAACAAAATTTCATAATCCCAAATTAGACATTTAATCTGCATATGGTGAAAAGAGTTAGAATATGGAATTTTTTTTTTCACGTCAATAAGTCCTATCCTCCTTTAGATTTTTCATACATTGGATTCCTATTGGTGCCATTTATCAATGACGTGGTTATGCCAAGTTCATAACTGAGCTCGCTTTCCGTCAAATTAAGTCTCAATTTCCCAAAGACGGACTTGAAATACCAGGGGGAAAAAAAAAACAACTGACTGCTACGGAAAGAAAGAAGTAAAAATCTCACTACCTGCTCGCCCAAAGGTATGGCAATGCGACAATCACAGCTTTTGCTCGCCATAATACAATGGACACGCCAAGTTCCAGTAACGGTAACAAATGCAGTGTCCAAATAACAGTCTACCTCCATTGCAATCCCATGCATGTGCAGTGGAATAAATGCCGGAGGGTCACGTCTTCCATGCACATAAGGTTGGTAACTCGGAATGTCAGGATTATCCACGATCGAGGGATCCGATATTACCGCATAAACCATTGGCGCCGTCGGAAGATACGTCTCCAACGACGCCAACTTCTTCTCCATCACAGCCGGCTTCGGGGCCGACACCGGAACGTCTTTTCCGTAGTAAATCCGTCTCGAGAGTTGGAGACCGAAGTCCACGGATTTTGAGAACTCGTCGGCCATTCGATCGGAAAACTAGATGGAAATAATTTGCGGCGAGATTGTCGTCCACAAAAGTTAAGACTGAAGTTGGAGAGTGTGTTTGAGAGCTGCGCTTGACAGAGACGTGGATTGCGAGACTCTCATGTCCTGTGAGAAGAGAACGGAGCTGAAATTGTGGCCGGAGTGCCATTTATAGTCTCAGCGACGCTTGGGTTGATGAAAAGGATGAAGTGTGCTAACTCTAACATTATACTAATATTTGAATTAGCATCACCACTCATGATGTGACACGTGGAAGGTTAGGGTTACGTTGTCGGGGGTAGGTTTTTTCTGGGGGGACCTGACCTGTATATGTATATTGATGTGTAAATGGGAATAATGAATTGAGAAGTTAAGCATGTTTAGCTTATGGGCGGTGGCATTGGTATTGATGAAGCATAAGTTAAGCATATCATGCTATTATAATATAGAGAGAATTACACTTAAACTCTTTAAGATTTGTCACTTAATTATTCAGACTCTTTAAAATTTGAGATGTTACATACATACTCTTTAAGGTTTGTATGCGCATAACACTTAGACTTTTACCATCAATATATGTTAATATATTTGTTAGTAAATTACACACAGACCCCTTAAAACTTATAAGTATATAATTCTTAGACTTTTTAAGTTTAAATTGTTATACTTAAACAAAAAATACTTCAATCAAAGATAAAATATTAAATATTTTAAATTTTAATATATTAATAACATATAATTGTATACTAAATTATATTTTTTTAAGAAAAATTAGACTTTTATTTTTGATTTTATTTTAATAAATGTCATAATAAAATATGAATCTTGGTTGTAAAATTTAAAATATTTGATATTTTTTTTGATTAAAATATTTTTAGTATAAATATAATATTTTAAACTTAAGGAGTTTAAGAATTATATATCTATAAATTTTAGGAGGTCTGAGTGTAATTTATTAACATGTATATTAACGGACATTGACGATAGGGATCTAAGTGTTATGCTCGTATAAATTTTAAGGGGTTTATATGTAATATTTTAAATTTCAGAGAGTCTGAGTGATTTAGTGACAATCTAATTGTTGTCTAAGTGTAATTCTCCCTATAACATATATACTGTATAGTGCTGGACTTTATTATTGTCTGCCACGTTTTTAGGAATAATGATTAAAGGAGAGATAATTACAATGGTTAAACAAATGAGGTAGGTAGATACGGCCTTCGAATTTGGACCCCGGTGGTTCAAACAGGTCTAGGGTCCAACTAATTGCTTATTGCTTTACTTTTGTACCCACCGCTGTCTCTGCAAATACCAAATCCTTACCCGAAGAAATTTAATTGATTCGAAATCCAGAGGCTCAGACATTTTTGGAGAGCAAGCCTTTCGGACATTTTTTAAAAGGCAATGCTACATGTACCTTATTTAGAAATTTTATTTGATGAATTTATTGTTTTTCTGTTATTAAATTGACAATAAATTTTATTATTAATTGAGACCCACTATTAATTCAATAAAAATAATTTATAATGTCATCAAATAAAGTCACTACATTAGGTACAAAGTGTGTTTAGTTTAAGTATTAGGAACCCATCCATCCGATCATTGGACTAATTATAGTTATAATCTCTCCTCATCTCATATTTGGTTTAATTATTAAGAAGTAGTGACCCCCACATTTATCTCATTTAGTACTTTGCTTAGATGGCGTATTGAATGATGATATAAATATTAAATTACTAAAAAAATCCTTCAAGATAAAGAGTAATATTTATATCTTAAAAATAATTGAGGGTAAAAATGTCTTTTGACAAAATATATCTCAATTAGACTATTTAAACCCACAAAAATGTGAATTTATTTAAGAAGTTGTATATAATATTAAATATACTATTCATTCGGGTTAGAATTAATTTTAGGTGATAATATCGGGTCTAAAATATATATCCAAATATAAGTATAATAAGAATAAGGTAGACTTGACATTATCTTTTCTAATCCCTCTTTGTTAATACCTAAACGAACACAGCTAAAATGTATTTCCTATTTTCGTACTCCACATGTGTTCACAAAAAAACAGATACAAATTGGAACTCCACATGGCTGCGGAGAGTATAGCTGGCGACATGTGCTACAAATGGCACCCACCCTTTGTCAATCAGCACTTCTGTATCAGTTTGTCGCCAATTTGCACCGGTTAGAGCATCATTATCTATGACTTAAATTTTTATTAATATCGGGGGTTAAGATTTGAGTAAAAAATTTGTTTTGATATAAAAGTATCCAATGAGTAAACTTAAATTTAAAGAAGAAGAAATTCAAATTTAAATGTGGGCAAACTTAAATTTAAAAGAGAGTAAAGATGACCATTGAATCTTTAAAAGGGAGTGAAATTTCATCATTAAATATTTGAGTAAATATTTGAGTCTCTGTTGATTTGAGAAAAAAAAATAGTCTCTTGATTTGGTATAAGTTTAAGTCAAAAATTGGAGTAAATTTTTTGAGTTTTTTTACTCAAATTTAAATTTGAGTAAGGGCTAGAGATGCTATTAGAAGTAAGCTCACCGACCCTTATATGTTTTGTGTAAGAGGTAAAAATTGAGGATACCTCCTACGAGAATAAAGAATGAATGTTTCTGATAAGAGTGAGTTCTGAGCTCGATCTCTCAATCTTTGCTTCCTGCAAAACGAACAAATTGTCCAAGATCAAAGTGCTTCGATCGAAGGCATTCCGATGCTTAAGTTAGTAATGGAATTGAGACACTTGTAAGAAGACAATGAGAGTTCAGCGTACCTTTCACCTTGACTCCGTATGCCTTTTATAGATCCCTGTTCAGTTAGGATTTTCATAATTTTTGATTCAAGGTGGCACACCCTCCTTTAATTAGGTGATTCTGTTTGGGAAGTTGCTGAGGTCTCTACAACAATTTCCTCTACTGAGCCTATAATCATGCCCATTTGTTTAACCAGAATGCCTGAATTATAGGCATATCCTTAGCTCTTCGTCTACTGTTTGAAATAGTTCGGTCATGGTGAGGACTGACCTCTTCCCTTCATTCCTGAGCTCTGTGAATTGCTCAGACTCGGACTGATGATTAGTCAAATGATGTCTTATGATGAAGGTATGGAGTAGGCAGAGAATGATTTGGAACTGTAGATTTCAGAGTTGAAGAAGGCTTTCTTTAGCAAGGGCTGGCACGCCGCCTTGATCGCTACTGGAGTGCCCCAGTCTTTCGAGCTCTATTCTTGCCATTCCCTTCCTGGCTCCTCCTAGCCCCTTGATTCCTGAAAACACTTAGAAGATATTTGTATTTTTTGATGCCTAAGTTCAAAGATCTTTTTGAGATGTTGTAATCCTTCGAAGTCTAATGAAAGATGCTTTGCAACTCTTTGTGACTTGTTCAAGAATGCTTTGAATGTTTAGAAAAACTTGACTTTTGAAGTTTTAAGGTCCTTGTTTAGCCTTTTATTAAAATGCTCGGTCCCTTAAACAGGGACCTTTAATTACTTAGAAAAAATCTACTCTTGAAGTTTTAGCACTTGCTCGGTCCATCTTCAAAGAGTTTGGTTTCGGTTAGGCTTTTAAATACTAAATTTACTCTTGAAGCTTTGGCCCTTGGTCGGCCCATCCTCCAAGAGTTCGGTCCCTCAGTAGATACCTTAAATACTTAGAAAAATTTTTAGGCTCTTGAAGTTATGGCCCTTGTTCGACCCTTCTTCGAAAAGCTCGGTCCCTCGACATGGACCTTTTAATACTTAGAAAAAATTATTAGGCTCTTGAAGTTATGGCTATTGCTTGACCTTTCTTCAAAGAGCTTGGTCTCTCAACACAGACCTTTCAATATTTAGAAAAATTTAGCCTCTTGAAGTTATGACCTTTGCTCGGTCCATCTTCAATGAGCTTGGTCTTCTAGAGTTAGGTTCTGAACTTAAGAATATTTTTAGAGACTGTTTCTACTTCACACTAACCCGTCGATCTAATCGGACTCAAATTCATCCCAAATCAGCTTACATCGTCATGCCTAGCTGAGGGACTAGATCCGATCGGGTGGCTTTGCATGATTTAAGTTTAAACTTCTATCAGAGTTTTTTGCCTCTCTACCTTAGTAGTAGGACATTTTTGATAATAAGAAACAGAGATGTATTGTGAAAATTTTCATTGATAACTTTTGTCCACCAATACATTAGTAAAAGTGATCTCTATTAAATCTCCAAGGGTCACCCTTATGTCCCGAAGGCACTTCGGGGTTCTAATTCTAAAAAAAACACTTTTTAGAAATAGAACTTTCTTAGATTGACAACGTTTCAAGGATGTGGCACCATTTTTTGGTTCAAGGTCTCGAGCTCATAATATCCATGCCTCCTATTCGGACTACTCGGTACTGCCCTTCCCAATTGGCCCCAAGCTTTCCATGGGCAGGGTTCTTAGTCGAGCCCAGAACGCGCCTAAGGACTAAGTCTCCAAGGTTGAAAACCCAAGGATTAACTTTCTTATTGTAGGCTCAGGACATTTACTGTCGATAAGAGGCCATTCGTATTGCTTTTTGCTCTCTTTCTCCTCGGTTAAATCAAGGTCCTGAGTGATGACGTTGTCATTACTATTGCTTTTGACAGGCTCGGTTATCAAAGTTAGCAACCCCATCTCAGGTGGAATTATCGCCTCCATCCCGTAGGCTAAAGCGAACGGGGTTTCTCTAGTCGAGCGCCGAGGTGTGGTTTGGTACGTCCACAGAACACTGTACAACTCTTTCACCCATATTCCTTTGGTTTCTTCTAGCCTTTTCTTAATTCCATTTAGGATTGTTTTGTTCAAAATCTCCACTTGTCTATTACTCTGAGGGTAAGCTGGGGTCGAATAGTGGTTTCGAATTCCGTACTGCGGGTAAAAAGCTTTGAAGGGACCACTATCGAACTGAGTTCCATTGTCTGAGACGAGTGCATTAGGGATTTCGAACCTGGTGATGATATTCCTCCAGACGAATTTTCTCATATCAGTGTCTCTG